TAACTTGACGAGATACCCCTCAAATTTTGATGTTTGTTCATTCAGACAAAGGTGTGTGGTACAGCATAATTTTCAGCACCCTTCCCATAATGGAAGCGCTTAAGAATTGAGTTCTATAATAATATAAATGAAGCAAATAGAAAAAATTACTATATTAAAAAAATAACCGTACACATATTCTACTTAAAAAAAAATGTAAACAGTTTTCGATATCGAGGGCGACCTTAGTGCGGCATCAGAATTGCATTCCTGAATCAAGTAGTTCTCGTTCTTATTGGCCGCCAACGTCCACGATGACATCCCTCATCATTCGATATTCGTGTATCGAATATCTTTAAATTCCGACATATTTTCCTATGTATTTTTAGGGACCTTCATTGCATTCTATTTGGTATATCGGGAATTATAATCAGAAGCAGTAATAAACTTCTGCATCTGACATTACATCAGATCCAGGAGTCTACCAAAGAGAATGTAAACACTGTATCCGGAATACATCAACAATACATTATGAATTTCGAAGAAAATTATACATGAAGAGAAAAGGAACTTGAAATTATATAAATAACGATGAATTAAAATTAATTAAATCAATAAAATATACAGTTAAATAAAAATAGTGTTTTCATATTACTGGGAGTCAATTTTCGTCTCGATAATGTTGATTTAGTTGAAATAAATCTGTTTTTATGACGATATATATTCGGAAAAACATAACAATATAAAATATTATTTCAAAATATATATATATATATATATATATATATATATATATATATATATATATATATATATATATATATATATATATGTGTGTGCAACGAAAAAAGTAAAAATATCATAGCCAACGCAGTTCATCATCAAGGAAGTACTTCATCAGAGCAATGTAGGATTTATTTGAAGCACCTGTTTGTATACAAAAGCAAGTTTGTCATTGGTTTATCAACCCCTTTAAATTTGAGAAGGTTGATGAATGTTCACCGGGTGACTGAAAGGTCAGTCAAAGCATGTATAGGACACAAAGTATAATAATTCAAAGTCTGGCAAAAACTAAGCGAATAAAATTCAAAATCTTTTTCTTACCTCTTTTTATTCATTTTTTCCTTCTCAGATACACTTTCTCTTTCTCTCTCTATACATATATACATACATACATAGATACATACATACATATATATATATATATATATATATATATATATATATATATATATGTGTGTGTGTGTGTGTGTGTGTGTGTGTGTGTGTGTATATTTCCATACTCATTAAATAATAGGTGTGATGATAATGCATGAGAAAAAAAAATAAACTAAATGATATTAGAATATACTTTTTATCATTAATATTTTCCAGGACAATACTAAGATATCTAACTATGTACCTAAAATTTTTTTTTTTGAAAGATAGTCTTACAGAGTTGCGAACGATACCAAGGTTACATATAGGCTTGTATAAAAGCATACATATATATATAGGAGCATAAACTATACATACATAGACACCCACACACACACACACACACACACACACACACACATATATATATATATATATATGAGAAACTCTATACATATATAAATAATAAATAAATATATGCTCAAAAATGCTTGAATATGTTTGAGTATTTACATAAGGATGTACCTGAACATGCATGTGCCAAGTATCCACGCGACCTACCATAGCAAGCACTGCCCATCTTACTGTTACTTCGATGACGTCAGTATCAGACATTATCGAAATCTACCATGCCATCAAAACATTCCCTTAACACGTTACCAAGGAAACGGCCCATGGATTTCCAGTGATTACCTCTCGTCGCTAGATCAATGCCCAAGAGAAGGAAACGTAAAAAGCGACGGGAGTAAAAACGATGAAGTTAAAGAGAGGAAAGCATTGAAATAATAAAAATAACACGAAAAGAGGGGAGTAGAGGGAAAGGATAGAATTTGTGAGGAAAAGAGAGAGAGGAGGAGGTAGTAGAGGTTACACTGGAAAAGAATAGAGAAATAGATAGCGAGACGAAGAGAGATAAAGAAAAACGAAAAGAGAAACGCGATAGAAAAAGAAAAAGGGAGGATGAGGAGAAAACCTTTTATTAGACGAGAACTGTTGAATAAAGGAAAGAAATAATGACGAGGGTCGGTAAGAGAGATAAAAAAAAAGCAGAAAATATAGGAATAATAAGTAAAAAGATAATTGGATGTGGATGAAGAAGAATCTGAATTAGAAGATAAAAAGAAAGAAATTAATAAAATGAAATTCCTGAAAATGCAAATATGTAGAAGAAAAAGAAATTAAAGAATAAACGTGGAAAGAGAAGAAAAAGAAATGAAGACAATTGTGAAAACTAAGAATTGTTAGAAAATGGTAAATAAACTAACATAGAAGAAGATGAAGAAGATTTAAAAGCGGAAAATAACTGTTTAAGGATAAATGATAAAAACCACGTAATTTCAGTTTTCCCGTTAAATTACCCGATTCACACCCCTTTTCTATCTATTGAACGGGATTCCAAATTGATCTTGTTTTCTATTTAGGACTGTATCCCCAGTTGCTTCTAAAATCTATATCCCTCCCGTAACTCCATGCGTCTTAGTGTTATTATCGCCTTGCGTATAAAAAAAAATAATCGAAACGATACAGCAGCCTCAAAATGCAAGCTTTTCTAGTTTTTCCCAAAAAGTTAATATTTACTAAGCTGGTCTTGGTTGATCATTACTGGTGAGTAGTGAGTTTGTTCCTCATTGATACACCATACTTGTGCCCAAGTACCAAATTAGGTTTCTTCTGTGTGTTACTTTCCTTCAGGACGTACTGTGATGATGGCTCTCCACAAGTGCTTATCCCTTGTAACTCTTAGCTATGTATTTTCACTGTCTCTCCCATTCTCTGTTCTGTCATCCATTTACACAATGATGCTAAGTCGGTTACTCGATATTTTCCTTTGCCTCTTGCGTGTGTGTTCTAATTCTCTAAACCATATTTACTCGTTTTGTCTTTCAAAAGTTTAAATCTCTCTTTCTGATCCTAATTATAAATGTCCTTTTGTGTCCATGTTCCTTAAAACTTTCTCGTTATTCACAGGCTATGCTAAACTTAGTATATAACAAGAAAATCATTATTTACCGTCGGTCTAATGGTTTCATTTTTGATGTATTTATCACAAGCTAAAGGGTGAAAGTGTTGTTTCGCAAATTTGGTGTCATAATGATAGTGAGTTCAATCCCAGGATCAGGTAGTACAGGCCTCTCGACTCAGTGGAAAGATAACTAGTAGAACAGGATAAGACGGGATATCCTTAGACATGGACAACGGATTGAAAACGTTAATCTTGTGGATTAAATAAAGGGTTGAGTTCAAAATTCTCCGAGGAAGACTGTCTCAACGGCAGAAATTTTAATAATAACAATGTGGTGACAGAACAATAATAAGGCAAATAACATAAATAATGAAGTTTATCGCCTTTATATATATATATATATATATATATATATATATATATATATATATATATATATATATATCTGTGAGTTTTAAATATAATTTGATGGCTTCATTCTTTTACAAGTCGCCTCAATTACGTTTATTCTTTTATTTACTTTGTACAGCCTAACATTCGAATAACAAATTAGAGATACCAAAATCAAGCAAGTACAAAACTTTCGATATTGAGGGAGTGTTTTAAAAGAGGACAGAAAGTGTGATACTGAAATCCGGAGGCGCACAGGGACAGCGAAATGTGCCTTCCAAAAGCTAAGCGAAATATTAAGAAACGGAAATTTTTTTAGGAACAAGGAAAAAGAGTTCTGAACTGTTATGTAATATCGCTCCTCATATATGGCAGTGAATGGTAGACAATCTTACAGGTGAAGAAGAGATTTGACGCAATATAGATGTGTTTCTACAGAAGGATGCTGAGAATACTATAGTAACAAAAATACACTTATAATTCACATACTACAGAGTCAAAATTTCTAGGACAGATAATGAGGAAAGAAAACTTAAAAATTTGGCACACACAGGACACATTGAATGTAAGATGGACAGAGGAAATCAGCACATAAACTACATAGTGAGCTTATGCAAATGGTTGCCAGAACAGGGTTTTCGCTAACAATAAGACAATTTACTAAGACCTACAAAGGACAGGAAATTGTGGCGGGTTATGATCACCAACATCTTTAAGAAGAAGAAGACGTTGCCTTATTCTTTTTTTTATCCTTTGTTTAAAACATTTCTCTTTGGGACTCCATTCCTTTTTCTTCTTTCTTTCCATTTTATTTTTCGTCCTTATTTTCTATTCCCGCACATTTTCTTATTTGAGAAATTCTTCCTCCTTCTCAGTATCCAATCTTTGCTTTTTATCTTCTTTTTCTGTCGTTTCTTTAAATATTCAATACACTCTTTTTCTTATCATTCCGCACCGTAGTTATTATGACTCTCTCTCTCTTTCTCTCTCTATCTCTCTCTTCACATTCGGTTTTCCTCTTTCCGCCATCAATTCTCCGATAATTTTTCCTTTCTTCCGTCAACAAACCTCTCGAAATGTAGCTCTCATGTCGCCTGGTTGCTCACACTGGTCGCACATGTCGCAAATCAACGGGCGAGAAAATTGAAAGAAAATATAATATTAACGCAAGACAAACAGAATTTCCCCTCATTTTATTCTGCTCGGTGTACACTGACTGATAGATGTTCTTCAATGATAGCGTCCAAGTTTCCAATACAGCCGCAACAGCAGTATAAGTAGTCGTGCCAGGAATATTTTTACTATTTGATTTGGTTCTGGTATTGCTTGTGTAAAAGGTGATAGTGTCTCCGGAGTACAATATGGAAACTTAGGGGGTCTGTTATCAGCTGGAAATAGGTCATACCTGTGATTATATGGAGCCTTTTAGTCATCTGCTGCTTTCTGCTACTGTCAGCAATTGCTGCAAATGACACACTATGGAAACATTCTGTTTGCTTGGTCCCCAGCGTTATTTATTCTCTGCATTCAATCAGAGAGACTGATAGATAAAAATAATTGGGAGGGAAAGAGGGATAAGTAGTGGGGGAATGAAAAGGAGAAGGATGAAATGATATGTAGAAGAAAACTGAAATAATATGTAGGCATAATTATTGCATTTATTACTGGTAGAATTAGAGAGAAAGAGAGAGCGTGTGTGTGTGTGTGTGTGAGAGAGAGAGAGAGAGAGAAAGAGAGGGATGAAGAAGAGAGGAGAATTTTCGACTGGGGGAGATTGAAAGGACATTGTGACAGAGAGAATTATAAAAGAGAGCGAAAGTTGAGAGAGAATAAAGGCTGAGGGGAGTAAATTCGATAAAAAGAGAGTGAAAGAAGAGAGAGAAGGATGGATGAGGGCAGTAAGTGCAACGGGGGATAGAAAAGAATTGTGGAAGAGAATTTTCAAAGAGAGAGAGAAAGTAGAATTGATGAAGGGAGTAAGTGCGACTGGGTGAGATCGAAAGTCATTGTGACACAGAGAGAGAGGGAGAGAGAGTGTGAGAGAGAGAGAGAAGAAAGAAGAAGAATTATAAGTTTCTTATGGAATCGATGGAAATACAGACAGGGAGACAAAACAGAGGTTGGAAGAAGATATAAAATAAATTTGAACAAAACGGAAAAAAAGATGATGATGACAGAGAGACAAATAAGTTATATAATCGACAGTGTTAATGTTTTGTAAGCTTTGTTTTCTAAAGTTGAAAGTATCGCGAGGCTTATCTACCGAATGCCATTTTGGCATTTTGCGTCTTGAACAGCAAAGTTAAAAACCGATCCCACTCATATCATATCCTGACAGACTATGTCAGAAAATAGCTATGGATTTAGAGATACAATTTCTACAAAGATGTGTCTCGTTCAGCCGAAATTATGCTAATTGTAGAATTTGCATTCACAAGAAAAAAGAATCAGAGGTAGAATAGAAAGAAAGAATCTGCAATATCATTAGTTCTGGTATGTCATCTCGGCTTCAGTCACTTTTCCGTAACGAAAAATCCTTGTGCATTTTCTATAAATTTTTTCATGGTAATTATTTTGACGAACTTTCCTCTTCCGTAGCGAGATTTTATGGATTTCATCGCAGTACTAGGTTGGCAGCTAGGTTTCATCATTTTACAGTTGAAATGGCGAGATGTCACCATAAGTTTTATGCTAGCAGTATATTTCTCTCGCATTTCTAGCTTGTGAAAATCTCCACCGGCTTCTTGCTTCCTAGTCAACTTTGATCTTCAAACATTTAAATGCAATATCAATCGTTATCTTCTGTCTTCTTACTTCTGTTCTTTTATTGTCGTCTCTCCTTAATAATGATTTCTTTGTCTCATATTCACTCACATTTAGTAAGCCCTTGAGTCTTAGTGGCGTTATAGCCTTGCTTCGTGTGAAATGATTAAAAAACACCTGAAAGAAAAAATGAGAAAATCTTGAACAGTGAAGCAAATAATGAGCAGAGAAAAGTCAAAAATGGTCACGAAATGATCATTATTATGAAGAATCTAAATTAACCAATCAAAATTCTGTAAAATATTTTAAAAGAATGGAAAATAAAAACAAATAATCGGCGTTTTTCTATCAATTAACTATTGCAGTGATTCTCCTATATCTTCTTTCATTCAAATAATCTTTCTTTTTATATGTGGTTTCCTTTTAGGACGTTAGTGATTATGGCTCTCTACTGCTTCGTATATTTCATAGAGCTAAGTAATGTTTATCTCTTAACTATATTTCCCAGTCTCTGTTCTACCATCTGTTTGTTCGGTAGTTTAATCGCAGTTTCCTTTTGTTTTCCTTGCCTTCAATGTCCCGTGTGTTTTATATTCTCCAAGACCATTTTCCTCGTTATGTGTCTTAGAAATGTCAATTGTCCCTTTCTGATTCTAATTACAAGTGTCATTTGTGTTTCTATTTTCCTTAAAACTTCCACTTTGCTCACATGCTCCATCTATGGAATTCTCAGCATCATTCCGTAGAACTACGTATTAAGTTATTTTCTTCATATGTAAGGAAACTGTCGACCATTTACTGACACAGTGTAGAGTAGCTGTTATATAGTTGTTTAACACTCTTTACTTTGTTGTAGCATTATTGTTCTGTAATAGTTTGTTTATCCATTGGCTGGCATCTTTCACTATTCCAGTGAGCCTTCCGATTTGTGGGTCACATTCTCCCTCATCTCTCAAAATAAACTCACCCCATTTATGCATTTATCTACTGATATATGTGTGCGCGCACACACACACACACACACACACACACACACACACACACAATACTACGAATATCTTTTATTTAGTAATTACAGTGGTTTCTCTGAAAGAGATGTCTACTATTTTATTATACTAGCCGTCAGAGGTGGATGGTAGGGGTTTGCCAACAGGAAATGAATCTTCCTGTTAATAATTCATAACTATCATTCCCTTCACATTGCACTGGTGATACGTAAGTTCCACTTGAGCAGTTTATTCCTACGAATCACTGCTTTGTGGAAGTGACTCCCAGGAGGATTCTTCCCCAAATTTTAATCTATTCAAGTCTTAACCTGTTTTCGCCGTTATCTTCTTCATATATCCCCATAAACTGTGTCTCTTACTCTGTAAACCTCTATCTCGAGTATTTCTTGGGACTTGTACATGGTGAACATTATTAAAAAAAACGCCTGAACAACATTCAAGCAAAATGCTGTGAAAGTGTATGACAAACAAGAATACAACTGAATGCACACATTTTCATTCATTGACTCGTACTTAACATGTATGGAAACCCATACAGTGAATTCGAGTTCATCTAATTGGTGCGTACTGCCATACAGCATAAAAAAAAGAAAAGTTAATTACATGGAAATACCTCAATGCAACGGTATTATTGGGCTCCCTTCTATTTGTAGTTTTTGCTTGAAAATAAATTATAAGCATTCATTTCGGACCCTTCCTCGTAAATAGCATCGTTTTTTTATGATTACGGTCTTTTAGGTTATTTTTTAATGTTTGTAATAGCCAAAGTAAAAAAAAAATATGCTAAAATTTTTTGCTTTATTTTCTTTCTTGTGATATGATGTAGTGTAAACATTTAGCGACTCAACTTGAAATTCGCAAGCTGTTTTTTCTGTCAAATTTCCTACAACCATGTTCCCAAAGTACTCTTGGGGAAAGTACAGATTCTTATTTCTACCTTTACTCCAGCTATGGGTTAAATATCAGGGTCGATTGGTGCCTTCTTTCTTTGAAGGAGAAAAAAGGAAGAAAACTCAAAACCAGCCTGAACAGGTATGTGCTATATTGCCCAAGACACATCACTGCTGCTATGGTTGCAGTACATGTAGTGTCTCTCACAGAGGCATTATTTCTCCAAAAGTTTCTCTCATTTTTCTTGATTAGTGTTTTGTTTATTACCACAGAAGGAACCATTCGTCAAAAACACTCTCGGTTCTTTGTTTTAAAATATTTTCTACAATGAGTAAAGGAGGTTTTCTAAATCGATACGATCATCATTTTATTTAGCTTCAAAAATCAAAGCCAATCAATTGGCTCTTCGATTTCCTTGCATCCAAAATGAAGCCTTTTTCCCTTTTCTCCTTTTCAGCAAGCCGGCATGTTTATATCGGATTATTTGCCAACAAAATATGTATTTTATTTGTCCGGCAAATCCTGAAGAATGGCTAGACTAAAGAGCTCTCGAAGCTAATAGCAATCGGACAAAGAGCGACGCCATTGTTCTGGCTGTTTGTTTTATCTTTTCTTTCATCGAAGCAGACGCAATCAATATCGTTATACTGTTTCAAAAAACAACTTCAGCTTTCCTTTTTTTTTCTTTTTGAATTGAGTTTTATTCATTCTGTTTTCTTTTATTTAGATTTCCCAACTTTACCATAAGATTTTCTTGTATTTACTACATTGTTCTCTGCTTCTTATTGTCAAAATAATTTTATCTTCTTTTTTGCCCATTCATTTTCTTCATTCTTTTGTCCTTTTTTGCTTGTCTTCCTATTTCCGCCATTTTAGAATTACGATATTTTTAATTATTATTATTAACCTTGCCATTCTTTCTTTTTTTCATTTACAAACTTCTCTTTGTCGCTCCTTTTCTTACGATGACATTTTCCCTATATATTAATTTATATTACACTTCAAATTTATCTGGCATCATCTCTCAGTTATTTCATTCATCTAGTGCTGTAGCCACAACTGTAAGGGTTTAATTTAATAGTAGATTTCATAATTAATTAACAAATCGTAATAAATTACCAGTATATCATATTTTTCATACATTAATGAAACATTATAATTTTAACAGGTGGGCTCTGTGGGTGTTGAACAAACACAACATTTGTCTAAGCGAGCGTCTGCAGCACGGATTACCTAGCCGCCATATTAGACGGAATCCTCGAATACGAGTATCCAGGCATTATATATATATATATATATATATATATATATATATATATATATATATATATATATATATAATATATAAAAAGTGGTTGCGGAGTTAGATAAATGAAATGACTGCAAATATGCTGAACAAATCTTAGTCACAGTTTCTGGGAGAGAGCATATAATCTAGCATGATCAGCAGTCTGAACAACGCAAGCATGCTCAAACGCTCGGTCACGATGACTTGTGACTACGTGCTGGCATATAAATATATATATACAAACACGATACGATATAGTTTTTTATGGTTTGCGATATTGAGGGACAGGATGTATGTAAATATATACACTGTGGGCATAGGCGTCCTCACTAGATTGCGAGAGCCTGTTTATAAACGCAATCTTCATTGATATATATATATATATATATATATATATATACACGAAAACATTCAAGTGGATTATGGAAAATTATGGATTTCGCTGCCTTGGTTTCAACCTTTCGGTATCTTCAGGCGAATTGATTTTTTAACGCTTTATTTTTTTAAATGAAAAGCTTATGAACGCTATATTTAAAAAAAAATGAATAAATAAGCGCATGATGTGAGATGTGGTAGAAAGTGAGTAGGAGTAGGAGAAGAGGAAAATCAAGTGTATTGGATTTATGGGATTAAATGAAATATACATATATTTTTTTATCCTACTTTAAATGAACACAAAAGACAATTTTAGTATGTATACAACGGATTATAATTTACGATTTCTGCTTCAAAAGTTTCTTTTTCGTTTGGATATTGTTGAAACTTGACTAATGCATGGAATAATAATGCAACACAAAATGTACTTAGAAAAAAATGTATTGAAACAAGAAAGTGTACACAATATTTACATATAGTCTTTTGTATATTCCTGGTAAGACCGTTCCTGGAGAATGTGTTGACTAAGTCGCAGTCGGGCAGAGTCTCTGGTTGAATCTTTTAATTCCACCCTCTCTTCCCGGTACCAACCATATTTATATGGTCGGTACTCCACTATGCAAATTAGGTGGATCCTACCACAACAGATATGTTATAATAGCTAATTATTCTTGTTGACAAAATTTTCAGATGTTACTATGATTCTTGTAAGGTTTTGCTTTTTTATAAATTTTCCAGTTTTTTTGTTCTCCTTCATTTTACACACATGGTTGGCTAGTTTAATAAATTTTCTAAGTCTTTTTTAGCTTAAAAGATGACTCATGATTGTATAACCTATTTTTAAAATTACCCTCTGGGTATATATACGTATATGTACGTACTGAATTAGCTTAATCATTTAATGGATACGATAGCGAATAATAACAAGGACTTTTCAGGCTTTCTTATA